GAGATTGAAAAAGGTTATGAAATTGCTCGAAGGAGGTTTTTTTTTTGATGGGTGAAAGTGGTATGGTACCCCGCCTGCGCTAACGGGATACGCTGGCGGAGCACCAGTGAAGGGTGATAGATGAGAATGAAAACAAGCCAACTGGCTTGCCCATCATGATGAAATCATCAGGAATTAACCATGATAGGTTCCAGGGAGAACCGCGTGGAGGTCGACCTGGTTGGGTATATTGCTAGCAATGGGACTGGTAGCCCGCATTACTAACGATCCCTTCCCCCCAATATATTTTATTTATATATTTTGTTTTATGTTTATATATTTATTGTTTACTGTTCTAGGTATTACAAAATAAAAGATTTAAATGTAAAATTTGTTTAAAACAGCGATTTTTAAATTTTAATAAAAAATTCCGTGACGTCGCCTGCAAATGTTATTGCTTCAGTTATAGAGGTCCGCTCTCAATTTCAACAAGTGGCTCGCACTATATTGACTTGGTATCGCACGTGGTACACGGTACACTGGCGTGCCAAATTAAATAAACACATGTTTGCAATATTGATACGGAAAGAAAGTTATGAAAACGCTTCAAGGAGGTTATGAGATATCTTTATTGCTTCGATGGTAACAAATTTAATCATTGTTGTTTACAAGTACTTAGATTTTGTTCCGCTAAATGACTTTATTCACCTCTTTATTCTCATTTTAAAATTAATAAAAAAAAACATTCTACTATGTTTTGTAGACGCATCACAATTAAAATATTTTAATTTAGAACGTGTATTAATGTCTATAAATAGTCCTAGAAAACTTTGACACCACAGGGCGCCACTGTCTTCCAGTTTTTCTTTTTAATGTATGACAGTGGAATGGTATCCCCGCCTGCCTTATCGGTAGATACTGGTGGGGCACCAGTTACGGATGATAGGTGACGATGAAAGCAGTCCAGTTAGCCCATCGTGATAAATTCCACTAGAATTAACCACTATGATTTCCAGGGAGAACCGCGTGGTGGTCGACAGGTCATGGGGTATATTGTTAGCAATGGGTCAGTTAGACCCTTTTTTTTGTCGAAGGGAAATGCTTCATGCAGACCTACATACTTCGGGGGAGATATGTGGGTATTGCCGGATTCTTACCGGCTAATACCCCCCCGGTGTTTCTCGTCCATCTATCGCCGGAGCCGCGGGGAACCCGCTTGAAGTCGTCCGAGACTCCGACGGCGACGGCCCGCTCCTAAGCAGGCCTCCTCTCTTTACTAGGGTGGGAAGATATTAAATCCGCCCTACATCAGAAGAGGGTGCACGGGAACGCGCGCGCCGCTCTCAGGGTCTAGGTGGTGTTGGGGAGACAGCCATCCCTGATCCTAGCGGAGTGGGAATGAGTGGGACAGTAGGATCAGTTAGACCCTATTACTAACAATTCCTCCCCCCCCCCCCCCACTGTCGTTCAGTTAGTTCTGATTAACTTATAGTGAAATTAATAAAAATATTGAGTGTACCCATTTAAATGTCCTAATGTGTAAGCACTTATAAAAGTAGAAATTGCATACGATGCGATTTGAAAAGCTTTTAAGTGCAGCGTGTAATCTCTATAGAGTAATAAGTAATTCCATTTTCTATTATAATTGTGAAGTAGTTAAGTGAGTTTATTAATTGGGTCAGGTGTACTGGGTAAATATTATGCCTTAGGGGAAAGTATCGTTCAAATACAGTAATACTAACAGTGTTTAAGGTAACCCTTTCGTTTGTTTTTAACTAACCTTTAAAAAGAGCAGGCTCAATTCGATTGTATTTTGTTATACGTTGTTTTAGCCAACTGTCGACCGATTTTGATTATTCTTTTTTATATAACGTTTACTGTTCTATGTTGATTTCTGTATTTTTGTTGATCGATATTTTCAATCGATATTTTGTTATAATTTCGTTTTTAATTGATACTATTTACTATTCCCATAATTAAGAGTTCAAATTTCTATTAAAGATTTTTGAGTAAATTATTTATTGATTACTAAAAATAATTTTGTCAAATCTAACTTTTTTTTAATTAGTAATACTCCTGATATTGCAGGCGTTCATAGTCTACGATAAGCGCTTACCATCAGGTGGGCCGTATGCTATCTGTGGTATAAAAAATAGTATGTTAGGTTTCCGAAATTGCAGACTAACCTCGTTATATCACTTTCAAATTGAGAATTTAGTGCAATAGGAGACAGAGAGAGAGAGACAAAACACTTTGATAACCAAAATAAGATCGACATATTTTATTTTTTTATTATCTGGTAAACGGTCACTGTAGCCTATGGACGCCTGCAACACTAGGAGTGTCACGTGCGTGTTGCCGACTCTGAAGAAACCTTAATATAACCTTTTTGAAGAACCCCATAGTGTAGTGTATAGAGAAAACCTCGACAGGGAGCTCCTTTAACAGCCTGAGCGTTCGCCGGAAAAAACACCTTTAATAAATAATACATGTATACTAAATTTCATAGTGATTGATTGTGGCATCAAGAAACAAGCTGACGGCCCACCTGATGGAAAGTGGTAACCGTCACCTATAGACATGAGCAGTACCATACACATAACAGAGTATACTGTTTCGCTCATGATACCCCGCATGCGTTGCCATTCCTGAGGACTCAGATGTTATTCCTCTGTATCCAGTAAATTCACGCCATATCCCACCCTTCAAACCGAAACACAGCCATGCAAACACAACTGCTTCACGGTTGAAACACGAATGGGACAGAGGTACCCAAGCAATCGACTTTTGTACAAAGTCTCCCTCTGGTAAATTAAATTGATTGATTAAATATATGGTTGACCTTAACGCCAAAGCGCCAACAAGGCAAACGAAGTGTTTATCAAGCACATCAATAAAATGACATATTATTATGACGTTAAAGTTGAATTTTTAATGATACTAACCACAAAATATTTTTAACCACTATTCTACTACGATCAAGGTTATGGAAATATTAAATATAACTCTTGAAAGACGCGTAAAAATAGTGTTCCGAGGCTTCTAACTATAGCTATGGAACTGAAGTCATGGGGGGCTGTCAGAAAACTTCTGCCACCTTCCTCTTTCGTATATTGAACCACGAAGATGGTGACACCTAGAACCTATACAGTCACGTACAGTTGTAGCTTCCTTCAGTGTCTTCTGCTGTCTATTCCATGAGGAATGTTCAGAAGAACTTCATTCTCTTATTCCACCTTTACCTTTCCGAGATCGCACCACGAGGATGGGCTAGCAACTGCATCCATACACGGTAGACCGTCCGCACTAGCGTACAAATAAGTTGGCCAACTCTTACGTGAACCATACCGTGGTAGTGACCAGAGGAAGACTTTATACAAAAGTTGTTTGTTTGGGTACCTTTGTCCCACTCATATTTCTACCGTGAAGCAGTTGTGTTTTAGTTTGAAGGGTGGAATATGGCAGTGAATTTACGGGGTACAAAGGCATAATACCTGAGTCCTCAGGAAAGGAATCAGGTGGGCCGTTAGCTTGTTTGCCATTATGAGTTGTATAAAATTATAAAATAAAAAAAACCAAGCTTACGAAGTTGTGGGCAAAGGTCCGAAAGTTTTCAAGTCTGGGGTTGATGTTTTATCTTGATTCCCTGTCTAGAATTGGTTACCTACTTCTAGAATCTACACATACGAAGTTGCGGGCGAAAGTTAGTTTACGATATTAGTAAGTATTTCCTTCTAAACGCTGAATACGAAGTTTGCGAGCTAAGCCAAGAGTTACGGCCGCGCTCTCATCGGGATCAGTATTCATGCGGTCGGCCGCTTCGTAAATCTGTATACACTCAAATGAGATGAGCCGTGGCGAAGTCTTTACATGATACTGGTATGAAGAAATATTGCATTGGGTTATCTCAGTAATGGGATACAAATACAGCGAGCTAGGGCAGATTTTATAGATAGATAAACGCTTTATTCGAGTCATTTATGACACACGTAAATTAAAATAACTGAAATTATACAATCAAATTAATTACATAATTATAAAAAATGGGGGGGGGGAGGGATTGTTTGTAATGCAGACTATCAGCTCCATTGCTAGCAATATATTTTATCAAGTCAATCTCCACATGATCCCCTCTGGAAACCATCGTGCTGAATTCCGAGTGGGCACCACAATGGGCTAACTGACCTGCCTTTTCTCGCCTATCATCTCTCACTGGTGCCCCGCCAGCGTATACTGTTAGCGCAGAGTTGCCATTTCACTTTCACCAAAAAAAAATCTTTATAATCTGTAAGTAGTCTGATGAAGTCCGAAGTCTGAACTAGAACTTTTAAAATTAAATATTAAACTGTACTAATTTTGATATTTTAGGCGATTACATCGCTAGTTCTCAATCGATTTTGGCAAGAAAAAAAGAGAAAATAACAAAAAGAGTTACACTTGGACAATAGAAAACAAACTTTGTTTGTTCCTATAACAGGAATCCGTGGAGTTAATTCATCAGAATTGTCAATTATCCAATTTGTGTTCAGAAATAAGTTGGAATCTAAAAATGCAATATTTCCATTAGCAGAAACATCTCGCCGCTTATCGATGGGCTTTGGCGTTTTTATAGCTATGTCGCTATATTTTTCGTAGCAAAATGTGATCGTTTACTCTTAAAAGATCCTGCAAATGACCTTAATCTTATGGTAGTCGATAGGAAGTTATCGCTATCGCGTTATTATGGGTAGCGCCCGAAATTGGAGTTCGTAGACCCACAAAATGTTTATTCGCTATCCTGTCGAAGATATGGGGACATAATACCTTAGCATAAGTAATTTAGAACGGCATTGTATGAAGCATATCATGGATGTCATGATGGATTCTGTGATATACATAGTCCTCTTCGTGGCCTCTTCTCTATTTTACATCAGGTGGGCCGTAGCTTGTTTGTCATTTCAAAGTGCATAAAATCCTCGAGTAGGTTAAAAGTATGATTTTTGTCCATCCCAATACTAAATCGTGCCTTCTCTTTGTTCCAGGATGTTATACACACAATCAGCACACCACATGGTCAAGTGCAGAGGATCGTGGTCTTCAAGAAGAACGGTGTTCAAGCTATGGTTGAATATCCTTTTCAATTCGTCGCAAAACTATGTTCAATGCTAAAAAACAGTATCAAGAGTAAGCGGCCATCGTGGCCCATGAACGTTTGCAACATTAGAATCAACACACGAGTTTCCGACTCTTGTTGCATATAGATAGATAGATATTCTTTTAATTATTTCTTCTAAAATAGTACTGTACTTAGCAAAAGAAAATGATCACGTAGATAGAACGATGGACAGTATTATAGTTAAAAGTTACCTAAAGTTACTCTTTTAAACAACTTTAAGCATGAACATCTCAAGTCATAATACCCATTAATTTCGCAGCCATATCTTCAAACCGAAATACTACAGACACCTACCAATATACTGAACTGGTATTTATCCTTTCTTCTTATCTCGTTGTTGGAGATTGATATTTGTAATTGGACGACACCTTGCGTCCATCAATAAGGTGTAAAGATGATGATACATGTAAAGGTGCTTTTGAAAGAACAAACGATAGAGTTCATAATAAGAGAGCTAGAATTTAAAACCAGGTATTTTAACATTAAGTTAATGACGTACAGAATTAATCGCGAAATACTATAGAGGAATGACAAAAATATTCTTTATTTCACATATGGAGTTAGATTTCAACTTGTGGTGCTTCGATTGGCATCTCTTGTGCTTTCTTATGAATTATTCTACTATCTTGTTTGTACTCGTACATTAGCTTTATGACCTTTCACGGTTTAAGAAAACTGTAATCTTCTAAGATTCTGACTGTGAATAAACTTTTCCCAAGAGACTCGTATTTGCCAGGGAATCACATTTGCAAATCAAGTGTTCTGTGGGTCCAGACTCTTCAGTATTTTTGTCTCATTTACCCTGAATAAATGTAAACAGAGGAAAATCAGGAATTTAGTCACTTGATTAAACTTTGTCTAGAGATATTTTTAGTCTTTCTATATACATTTAATTAAATATTTAAACTTTATTGACCAACATAATGTGGCACAAAAGGCTAACTTAATAATGTAGGCATACTCTACCAGTCAACCTATTGGTACAGAGATATTCGATGGCGATTTAAAAAAATATGTCACGAGGAATAAATGTACAATATAATAGATTCATGAAATAAGATCTGGCTATTTGTTTCTCAGTTCTCGACGTGTGAACAAACTAAACATAGTTATATTAATACATATCTCATATTGAAAATAGAGCATGAACTATAAAAGTGAAGTTGTATATTTTTCTATGGCTCGCGGTTATCAGGTCACAGTATGAGCGGGTTGCTTATTTTTAATATTGTCGTTACCATGCCCAACAATATGTGTACTGTTGGTGTGCCTTGCTGTATAAATAAAAAGAAAATATTGTTATTAAATGAACGAATAAATGAATGTGGATTCTTTATTGTACATACTGTGGTAATTACAGGTTGATAGGTAGGCTATATGGTGAACAACAGTCTACCCGCTACAAGACACAGACTTGTACGTGTCACTACAGATTATAAAAACATTTCTCTATAAGCCACTCATATTAATGGAGACAAACGCTCCATTGAAAGTAAGGTTGTTAGGGCAACCTTCATACGATTCTCTTAGACGCCATCATGGTTAATTCCTAGTAAATTTATCGTAATGAGTCAACTGACCTGCGTTATCTTCAGCTATCATTCCTCGCTGCAATCCCACCGTCGTATACCAAGAGTGAAAACAGGACAATGCCAAAACCGGTCAAGAAATTCATCACTACACAGATGGAATTGCTGAATTTAAAGTCTTCGATTTCTTCAAGACCTAACCTTCGCCACTTTTCTCTATCAGGTCGTTCTCCTCGTGGTTCTCCCTGTAAATTATCTTTATTAATTCTTAAATTCCTCACAATCGTGACTGGTGTCCCACAGCGCAAGCAAGGTTACTATTCCATTTTATTAGTAAAAAATCTCCGCCACTCCATAAATGGGACTCCACCTTTATGACACCGGCGGTGACCTAATTTGGTAACAGTAAAAGGAACACAAATAAACATATCGAGGCAATAGCACCCAAGATACTGTTGTCCGACAATTTGTGTCCGGAATTCCATAATCCGGCTTCACGGTTGCTAAGTGCTCCTTTTCATCGACAGATATCGAAAGACACGAATAAGGAAACAAAGCATAATATATCAGATTTATGAGGAAAACTCAATACGGAATAATATGAAGATATTATGTATTGGTTTTTACCTGTAACTCGTTCCGCGTGAGATACATCCATTGACCGGAATGAAAAGCATCTCAATTGCCTAAATATGTCTAATATCACCATAATTTATGGAGCTAAGAGATATCAAAGTCACTTTGATATTATTAGTATCAGAGAGGCAACAGTCACCTTTCAAGGACACGAGTTTCAGTAATGAAGTGGATGGAGAGAGAAAGATAATAATCAATCTTTTCCGTTGTGTTTCTTAACGTTATGGTTCCGACATAAAATGGTCCACCCTTTTCTTTCTCGTAATTGTCGTAAGAGGCGATTAAGCAAAGGCTCCTCTTAAAGCATAACCAAAAGCCACACTGCGGTTGCTAACCCGCCCGCCAGGTGTGACAACTGTTACCAAAATCCCCTCAATGCTAAACTGTTACAAGGAACTGCCTCGTTCCTTATAGCAGTCTATAGGGGAAACCTATGGCCAGCAGTGGACTGACAACGGCTGATATGATTTTGAATCAACTTTTTCATAACCTCAAATTAGAGTCTTGCACCATAAAGTTTTTAAAGAACATTTAAATTTAATTAATTTATTTTAATTTAAATTTATTTAAAGTTGTCACTCTAATGCGTGGGGTTATCCTACGCCGCACTTTGTCTTCAAAGAACAATGTCCAAGTGATCCATCCACATCTTACACAATAAAGTTTAATTAAAATAAAACATACTCACCACTCCATCTTTACGAGCGCCACTGTATTTAATGCGGCGAACATAAAATCACTCGTTCCCGTACATAAAACTCTGAACTAGCCGATAAATTAGATCTCGTTTGTAAAAGAAACGGTAATTGTACACGTGCAACTTTTTGTTGCGCGACTTTCTTTGCTTCAGTTCGTTGCGTCTTTCTTCTTCGTATAAGTCGATTTATATTCTACTGAAGTGCTCCATAAGAAGAGAGTATATTAGTCTAGTATTATCACGTATTATCTAAGGGGTTTGATATACAGTTTTAAGTATTCCTTATTATTCACTAATGCCAAGTATTGTGTTTTGTTTACCCTAATCGGTAATTATTTCTAACAATATACGATGTCAAAAAATGGTGAGGCTTTATAAATAAATATGGATTTAAAAAATAAATAAGCATATTAGGTTTGTCGTTTTCGATAGTTGTATCGACTTTATCCGAAGACTTGGTGAGACAGTACTTACGTCGCCGCGTCTCGCCTCGTACTGCACACCACAGTTAGTAGAACTATTTATTTTTAGTATCTAAATCTTTAGTAATATTATAAATGTGAAATAAGTTTGTTGCTTACCTCTTAGTACCTTAACCAATCACTATGGAATTTGGTATATATGTATGTACAATATGGGATGGAGAAGGACATGGGGTACTTATAATCCCGGTCAGTGAATATCTCTCAATCACGCGGATATGGCTGATAAAAGCTTATTTACAGTTAGTTGTAGTTCTGTGCTAAAATTTTCTAAATCGAATGCTGGACCAATATCGTATATATATATAAAGTAACGAAAATACAAAATAATTGCTGAAATGTCGCTCGTGTATCTCGTACAGAACACCTACCTGCTAATATTGCGGCCAGATAAAAGCTAGTTTATAAAAAGCATGATGAAATCTATTAAAAAAAAAACAGCATCACTGTCCGATGATTCATAACAATATTGAGCGCATCTCTTATACAAAACAGCTGTCTTTATTGTGCGAATAAATATTTCTAGATAGATTTAGAGATTTGTGGGAAATTAGTTTTACACGCGACTTCGTCTGTGCTACCGCGATATAACCGTATTGATGTACCCTTCTTTATCTCAAATACTGCTTGTATATTAAATTAATGGCGTTTTATTAGGCCAATAAAGCGCTAAGAGGTAACCAATAAATGAAAAATTAGGATTCTTCTAAATTTTAGGTTTTTGATGAATAATTTTAGAGTGGGCTCGGTCCCTCCGGCCGCTCCTTAAAATTTATCTATGCCCTTTGCTGGCGTTAGCCTCTTCCTATACGATGATATTAGCTTATTATCGCTACGCTGACCTGGCAGCTGGATGATAAATAGGTCAGAAGCACCCAGATAGACTTTTATCGTCAGTCATGATCGCCATAGATGTATTTAAACGCGGGTGGGTGAATTTAATTCCATGCTCACCCCAGAATTCTCTGGCGCCCACCCCAGAAATGTAACAAAACCTTCAGCTATGCTCAAAGACAAGTCTGATCATGGAATATATGCCTTTTTCACAGAGCCCTTTCCTGGATATAAATATGCCAATGATAATATAACCGTTCGTATGATATTTGGGCTGATTAGAGAATCCTATAAGAATAAATATCCAGATAGAACGAACATTACCATGAATAAACACAATAATAATAATTCTGTTGTCGCTCTGTTCGTATTAAGAGCTAAATCAGTCGTGACTCGCAGCAGTAGCCAGTTACTTAACTGAAACTAGTTAAATGCGAACGGATTTGTGACTACCCTCTCAATCTATGCGAGGTTTAACAAAAAAAAAAGAGATTTGATACATTTTTGTGGCATTGTCTGTTTTACGTAATAAAGAGAAGTATGTGAGTGTCATTTACCACAGTCTATTTGAGGGGAGAGAGGTTATGGAGGGATTGTTTGTAATGGGGAAGTTAGTACCAACTGCAAGCAATATATCCTCACAGATGAACTTTTTTTCGGTTATTTCCTGGTGAACGTGTCACAATGGGCTGACTGACCTGGCTTTATCCTATATCAACAGCACAGGTAGGATTACTATTCCGTTTTTTATCCCATAAAAATATCAAGAGCAAGGCAATACTGAATGATAAAAGGTAAAGTTGAAGTAAGGTTATTCAGCTCATCGTGAAGAATTCATTAAGATTTAACCACGATGTTTTTAGGGTGGTTCCCATGCGACCTGATAGTATATATTGCTAGTTATGAGGATGTCAGATCCCGTTACTAACAATTCTTTATCTCAGCGCATACGATGCGGGTTTACATTTTAATTCCATTAAAAAAATACCCAGTCTATCTATTTTTATGTTTATACCAAAAAAGATGAAACGATAGGGCGAATAAGGAACGACCCTCGGATTCAAAGTTTCCAAACAAAATATGTTTATAGATACAATTTCGTTACTTTCCTATAATAAAATCACAAAGTAAGCCGTCGTCCTCTAATTACGTTTTTTATACTTTGGATTTTATTCAAATTACTTCGCTCGGAGTTGTGTCCAAACTGGAATGTAAGGAGCGACGCCTGTGACATAAGGTAGCGGCCTGAGATGAACGGGAAACGCAGCTGTTATGGAATCATTTCATTATATAATACTTCAATAATATATAATACAATCTTCTTCTCAAAGATTATACATATAAATTGATTTAGTTCTTTTTATTAGATAATGGTTCGTGCTTGGCTTTATCGGGTGATAGAAAGTGAGGGAAAGAACTATAGATGCATGTCCAGAAAATTGAGTGTTGATTTGAAGACTGTATATGTCCAGGAACACAGAAGCAGGAAGGTTGTTCCATTCCTTGGTAGTACGGAGCAAGATTGGCGAACTATTTCTCATCCGAATATCGGATATTTCCACGATATCCTGGTCTTCATCGTGCAGTTCAGCAAAAAAAAAATATGGATGGCATTTAAAATGGAACCATTATTTCAACCGCATTGAGTTTTTTTTATGGGTGAAAATGGTATGGTAACCCCGCCTGCGCTAACGGTATACGCTTGCGGAGCACCAGTGAAGGGTGATAGATGAGAATGAAAACAGGCCAGTTAGCCTATCATGATGAATTCATCAGGAATTAACTATGATAGTTTCCAGGGGGAACCGCGAGAAGGTCGACCTGGTTGGGTATATTGCTAGCAATGGGATTCTCAGTCTCCATTACTAACAATCCCTTTCCCCCAACCGCATTGAGTTAGACTTGACGATATTCCGTCGTGTTTGGTATAGTGCGTGTTTGTTTACTATGCCCAACCAAAAATTGATTTCCCGAAATTCCTAAGATAACGAATATATCGGAAGCAAACTTTGTAGTAAACAATTCGTTGTATAATTGTTTTACTATCCAAAATATCCTACAATTAAAATAAATATTCAACTGTCAATGTATTAAAGCAGTTGACGTAACCGCCATTTCGCGCCACTTTCGCCCCACCTGAACGTTATTATAGAGAATAAAGTCGCGCCTCCAGTTGGAGCTGGTTGAATAATCTGAACGTGTTTTAAACTTGGTCGCGTAATAACATCTTAATGTTCGAAACCGAACATTAATCCATTCGGGACTGAATCCGAATGGTGATTCAGATAAATCTGGATTAGGGTTGCCAACCAACAATTTCGAGGTGTTAATTACACGAATTAAAATACAATTAATTTCGTATCCCTAATCTAGTTCAATTGGTATAATATGTGACGAGAATTAATGTGGTTATTTAAGTAAAATATGGTAATATATCTGGGTTGTCACTACGTTTCGACCAGGTTACACCGACATTGTTATTATACGGACGGTAGGGTAAATATAAAATTATAATGTACAAATTTGACGTTCATAAGCGGCTAAAATGTCCTACATGAATAAATGATTTTTGAATTTGAATTTGAATTTGAATTCATTATTCTATTTAAATAAATAATTAATGAAATGAAATTAGTTTATTTGCATTAAACAGTTTAAAATTATTACAAGAGCCACGTGGTACTATTTTGGCACCTGTTTAATTGAAATGGCCGATATTTGTGATGACGTTAATTCTTGTCTCTTATAAACCATAATCTATGCATCGCGGAGGTCTAACAATTAATATGACAACGTATTAAAATGTATGTATGGCATGTGTTAGTATTACATTTAGTAAAGTTTCATTGGTGGATTATAAAAAATATAATTCATTGAAAAAACATTTAAAATTATGATTACTACTACCATACCATTTCAGCCATTAACTGCCCACTGCTGATCATAGGCTTTCCCCTATTGGAGGGTTTTGCAAGTAGTTGCCACGCTTGGCAAGCGTGTTGGCAACCGTAGTTTGGCTTTGATGATGTTTTAAAAGGGACACTGCTGCCCATCCATCGACCATCAAGTTCTCTTAGTCGCCTCTTACGACACCCACGGGAAATTCTACGCCTGGACCACACAGCGCTAATGTTACTAATAATTCATTATAATTATTTTTGGTTAATTTTTTTTTATACAACTTAGAATGCCAAACAAGCTAACGGTCCACCTGATGGAAAGTGGTAACCGTCGCCTATAGACATGAGCAGTACCATGGACATAACAGAGTATACTGTTTCGCTCATGATACCCCCCATGCGTTGCCATTCCTGACGACTTATGTGTTATTTCTCTGTACCCTGTAAATTATTGTGTTATTACCGAATTCTGTTTCTTTTTGTGTTCTATTCTAGGGTTTTACAATTAACTAATATTCATATATTACTTGTTATTTTAAAATCTAAATGTATTATACTATTTTAGTTATTTATATTTTGGTTTTCGAAATTTGGCGTGGCAGCCCTAATGTGGATGAATGAGATCATCTTTGCGTATCATACTCGACATCCAAAGCATTTTATGGCATCGTAAAGGCGAAACTATTTGAATGGGTTTGCTCATTTAGATTGTTTGTGATGATTTGAAGACCTTCATGCCGTAGGCAGGCTACTAACTTTGTGTAAATTAGGACCCGGGAATAGACGTAAATGAGAGAGAGAGAGAAAGAGAGAGGAATGTAGTATGTTTCTATTGAAAAATTCATAAATTAGTTCATCCATAAGGTAGCTTTTTAAAGCGTACAATATTTAACAATTAGATACAGTAGATTTCAGCCATTATCTCTCCACTACTGGACAAAGTCCTCCCCCATAGACCGCTATAAGAAACGGTCCTGAGCCACCTGCATCCACTGACTCCCTGCAATGCGTTTGAGGTCGTCACTCCATCTAACTCCTACATTAAGACACATAGTTTTTAAGGAAAAACAATACCACACCATTAATCTTAGCACCATTCAATACTAGTCAATTAACAATACGAGACAGCACAATACACAGCAGTATCATCATCATCATCATCACCGTCACCACCACCACCACCACCACCATTCTATATTCTAAGGCCACTGTTTTAGCTATTCAAGTGATTTCGCAATGAATTTTGTACGTCATTATTGTGTTGCTGGTTATAACAGGTTAAAATGTTGTTCGTATTTTTCTGTTCCAACTCTTGTCTTTTAAATTACAGATAAGTAATATGGCTAGCGGTCTAAAATAGGAAAATTACTATGTAAGCTTATATCTGTCCTGTAATTTAATAATGGAATGACCTTTTACTTCGAAACATGGCTACCAAGGAGGTAACTAATAAAAGGTTTTGTTTAAATTTCGAACTGGCTTGCAAGAAGAAAGTTGTTTATTGAAAAAAAAAACAAAGGAACATTATGGCGCGTGAAAAACTATTATTGTTCGTTATTCGTCATTGAACTTAAAAAGTAAAATTGTGTTTTTGATTTCCGCGCATTGTTTGAGAAAAGTATAATACTATACAAGCCTTGGTCGCAACTAGGCATTGATGGACTCACGTATGTGTGCCTCGGCTATGCCTGGGCCCACATTTGCACGTTCGTCCATCAATGCCTCAGTTGCTGGCCGCTGCAGTAATGTACTATTAATACAACATTAATACAACAATGGCAAACAAGTTGATTGTCCACTTAATGACAAATGGTAACCATGACAGTTATGGCACTATGGTCATAATAAAACATACTATGTCGCCCATGATATTACTGTATACTGTACTGTATGTAAACATAATGAATTCCTTAACTCGTGGCCACAAATTCGAAAGCGTCGAGTCTGCGACAAGAGCGAAAGAGGCGTTACACGGCTGCGACATATACTCTGGATGCTGCACATTGAAAATTGAATTCGCTAAGGTAAGTCACGCTTTATTTTTTATCCTTTTCACTTAAATAGATGCTAGGTTTTCAATTATTTTTAAATAAATAAATAAATGTTTTTTTTTTATTCAGGTAAACTCAATAATAAGCATTTTTGAATCGTCATTTTTTTATGACTCTACTGTTCTATTCGGAATGTAATTTTAACTGAGAATAACAGGCAAGAAACAGTTGTTGTTTATCTCAAATTAAAGTTAAGTTTACAATAAATAATATAAATAGGTAAAGTGATTATTAACAAACTTTGTATTGATAAAAAGAAATAAATAGAGCTACAAACCTAACCTATTGAAAAGCAGCGCTGCAGCACCACGCTGCAGCTTAAGCTGAGTGGGGACCATTTCAGGTGTTACCATATAATTATTATTTTAATCTATAAAGTTGCTATTAATGTTTATGTTTTATTTCTTGTTTTTTTTTTTATTTTATTATTTATTGTACTCAAAATATAATGTTAACCACAATTCATTATAAACATAATGTACAAAGGCGAGCTTATCTCTAATGAGAGATTTCTTCCAGCAAAACCTTTTCATGTAAATTGTATGTTATTTTTAAAAATAAAAATTTATTAATAATTTATTATTATTATAAATATAAAAATAAAGAGAAAATAGAAAGCTATTGATTGATAACTGTATCACGCAATTTTGGTCGCGTAAATACTAATGTAATAAATATGAAAGTGAGTTTGTTATCTTATAGTGGCTTCACCAATAACTATGCGATTTGATATACACGTTCTATATGGGATGGAGAAGGATATAGCCAACTTTTTATGCCGATCAGTGAACATATTGCTATCACGTGAACGTTGGTAAAAACAAGTCAGTATTCTATGTACTATATATATATATATATATATATATATATATATATATATATATATATATATATATATATATATAAACTAGCTGACTCGGCAAACGTTGTTTTACCATATACATTATTTCTAGAACTATACTAGTACATAAAAATCCATGGTACTACAATTATTATATTCAATTGCCATCTTGCAACCCTATCGTATGTATGTATGTATTTTTCTATGCTAAATCATATTAAAATAAAAATAAAAAATTAAAAAAAAAAATTAGGGGTGGGTCACCCTTATCATTGTGGGGTATAAAAAATAGATGTTGGCCGATTCTCAGACCTACCCAATATGCACACAAAATTTCATAAAAATCGGTAAAGCCGTTTCGGAGGAGTTTGGTAACAAACAACGTGACACGAGAATTTTATATATAAGATATATTTATATGTTTATATACTTTATTGGCCACATTACAAAAAAAATGCCTGGTACAAATAGCAGACTTAATATAGCTGTTTAAATCGATGTACCTCACAGTGCAAAGGCGACGTTAAGAGGGTAACCCCATGCCGTGTCAAACACGCACTCCGCCGACTCGAGCCGCCACTTAACGACCGACCGCTCTCCGGTTACTGACTGATGGACTCGCTGATTTTATATATAGCCGTCAAAGGATGTTCATGGAGGTGATTTTTTTCTCAACCGACTTCGAAAAAAAGGAAGCTCCCATTTCGTTACCCCCATAACTTCGTTAGTTGTAGACCGATTTGAAAAATTCTTTTTTTATCTGAAAGGATATACTTACAGATAGGTCTTGTAGATATTTTATCAAAATCGGTTGAGAGGTTTAGTTTTTAGATCAAAATAATTGGTTTTCTCACAATTGAAGCCTTTTTTTTGTGGGAGATAATCTTAAAATTATCGTGCAGCTTATTTTAATTATTTCTACGGACCCATAAAACTAGACGTGAAATAATACATACAACTCCCCAAAATACTCCCCAATCCACTAGTATTATCGTCTATGGTAGTCCCGGCATAGAATAGGCATAATATCTCCAAAGTCTGTCTGCGGTTGCCAATCCGTCTGCCAAGCGTGACAGCTAGTAGCAAAGCTATGGGAAAGGACAGCAGTGGACATTTAAAGGCTGATATGATATGGAGTTCCACAACCTTCCATATTAACTATCAATCTCCGACTGCCATTTTGTTCACGCATGTTTTGTGAATATTGTATATTTCACCAGATAGAATAATTACTGTAAACTTATTATAAATAGTCAATTTTGTATATATAATATATTTAGTATGTATATACTATGTATTATAGTATAATGTTGCATTGGTTTGGTCATTTGGAGAGGATGGATGAAAGAAGAATTACGAAAGAGATTTATCGAGCAAGAATGAATGGAGATGTCGGTAGGGGCCGCTCTAGACGGACGTATGTTGACCAAGTAGGCGACGTGCTGAAGAAGGGCCAAATTAAAAGTACCCGTAACCGGCGAGCGTGTATGACACGATTGATATTCATCAAAGAAGAAGAAGTGGAAGAAGCGAAAGAGGTTTGTTTGAATCGAAGCATTTGGCGTTCCATTGTTTCTGCCTACCCTAATGGGAGACAGGCGTGACAGATATGTATGTATGTAGTATATGGTAGTACTATCAGAGTAGATATGAAGGTAGGTAGCAGCAGTAAACAGTAGTTTAAATTTTTATTACGATCTCTAAGTAACATAAGCGCGTTTTTAATCCCAAATGGGAAAGACATTAGGCTCTCTAAAAGTAACATGTAGAAATTCTAGAAATTTCCAAGTTTTCACCTCGTTGCTTGGTTTTTATTACTCTAATTTATAATTACTAACCCGGTGATGAACCGAATCTAACTGATTGGAGCACTGACTCGAATAAACAATAGTTATTCGAGTATTCAATATAAATCGAATAGGTTGTATTTGAAAACAGTATTAGAGTACTTATAATACCAGTTAAGTAAGTTTTTATGTTTCTATTTAAGCATTTTATTAATATTTTCCATAAGAAAATATCCAAATTATCAAAGAAATTTAAAAAACAAAAAAAAAAAACAAAGATGAAAACTTACATAAAAAGCTACGGATAAGCTTTTCATAAACCTTATTGCCTATTAACTTAAATAAAATGTGTTATCTATTTTTGAAATCGGTTAAAAAAATATATTAGACTACAAAATATACCTACTTGTATGTGTGAAAGTAATCAATTACTCATACAAGTACGTACACGTTACCAGAGTACTAGTAATACTAGTACGTTTACCAGAGGGAGACTTTGTACAAAAGTCGATTGCTTGGGTACCTCTGTCCCATTCGTGTTTCAACCGTGAAGCAGTTGTGTTTGCATGGCTGTGTTTCGGTTTGAAGGGTGGGATATGGCGTGAATTTACTGGGTACAGAGGAATAACATCTGAGTCCTCAGGAATGGCAACGCATGGGGGGTATCATGGGCGAAACAGTATATTCTGTTATGTCCATAGTACTGCTCATGTCTATAGGCGACGGTTACCACTTTCCATCAGGTGGGCCGTCAGCTTGTTTGCTATTCTAAGTTGTATAAAAAAAAAAACGTAGTTACAACTATTACAATAATTGTACGAATCTGATTCGAGTCGGGATTCGATTATTTTCGATTCGCTTCGGTACACAACTATACCGACCGGGTCGTTACTGAAATGTTTTACAGCTCGTAATAGCCAAATTCGCTCGTTAAATCCTTTTGTGCTGATTTTAAAAAGAAAACTAGAAAGAATGGAGCGCAGCTTTATTTGACTGCATTGTCAAAAGAGATTTTGTTACTCCATTTTTCGGTGTGTTACGAGTATTTAGCGTTGGACACGAAATTTAAGCGGTTTCCGTGATACGGTGGCATGTTTTTCTTTTTGGATTGTACACTTTTAAAACCTTTTTTAAAGCAAATTCCAGAAGAAAGGGATTCTCAATTCGTTTGATTGTATTTTAGTTAACATTACGCGATTAAGTCGCCAATTCTGAATCGATTTTCCGTTCTGATTGATTCCGTTAACTGTTGCTGAACATAGGCCTTCCCCCTATGAGAAGTTTTGCCAAGTACGCTTAGCAAGCAGGTTGGCAACCGCAGTTAGACTTTGGTAATATTTTAAAAGGGACACTGTTCCCTATCCTTCGACAATTGAGAATTTAGTTAACTCTTAAGAATTTAGTCAACTTTTAGAAAAAGAAGGGGTGGCCCTTCTATGCAATGATCACACGGCGAAATCACGGAGTGTTTTATACAAAAGAAGTCGCTATTTTTGCGAAGCACATAGAACCTATACAATTACGTACAATTGTAGTCTCCCGCAGTGTCTTTTGCTGCCTATTTTATGAGAAATGCTCAGAAGAACTTGATTCTATTTCATCTTCCCCTTTTCGATATCGCACCACGAGCAAAGGCTAGCAACAACTGCACCTATACACGGTAGACCGTCCGCACTCGCGTAAAAATAAGTTTGCCAACTCTTGCGTGAACCGTACCGTAACAATGTGGAATGGCCTTTCCCGTGACGTCTTTTCTTCATCCTAAAACCTTGTATCCTTCAAACGTAGCGTGACAAGCACTTAGTGAGCCGGCATAGTGCGGCCAACCATTGAGAGTAGAACGTTCTCTTTTCGGTTGATCGTATTCATAGACCATGTCGTCTTTGTGTTCGCTCAGGATGCCATAGTCACTTGGAGCTGTAATAAAAAAGGAAAATATATAAAGACTAGTTCGTGTTCGGGTGGAAGGCGAACGGTTATCGTTGCCCTAGAATCTAGAACGTTTCGCCGGATACTGGAGGCCCGAATTACGTAGTTACAGTTCACTACGAATGTAACTTTGGGGAGACTATAAAGTAATTTGCGTTAAACCTTCACCTCACTTATTTCTGTCTCGCAAGGCAGATTGCTCGTTCATTGTACAAGTATGTCAGTGGAATTACCGTCGATTGTAATTTAACATAAATAAGGCTCGTGCTCGCGGCACAGTCGTTCTGTCGTCAATGACTAAAGATCACGAGTTGATTCCGAAACTAGTCGTGCTTTTTTCTATCTAATTACACGTAAGTTAAACTGGTAGTTATAACATTAAAATATAATATGTGCTTACGAGACTTTAAACAGTA